AAAAACTTGATCTCAGATGATTTCTGCAGTTATTGCATTATCTCATCACTTGACGATCAAAAGACACACCTTAGTGCCAGATGGGAGAGGAATGCTTCAAAGGTTTTATGAAGGACACTCCAAAAGCAACTTTTAACAACAGAACAGGTTCAGAACCTTGGATCTGTTAACATGATCCACAAAAGAAAAGTCTGCCTGTTATACAGGTTATCCCCCTTTGAAACTGCCCAATCAAGGTAAAGAGAGAGCAAGGCATTGAGAAAAATATAATACATATAAAAAAAAAAAAAAAAAAAAAAAAAAAAAAAAAAAATGACTTCAAAAGTTTCGTCAGAAATTCTCCAATGCATAAAATGAAGAATTAAGAATAGAAACTGGATTTTTGAGGCATCCTATTTCATGAAGACAAAGCACGATCACTTTCAAAAATTACACACTTCATTTTCTAGAGGATTCAGAGGTTTAACCCCGAGTGGTACAATCATCTTAATCCAGTCATGAGATTTTTCATCATTTTGTATACATTAGTTTATCGTGATAACCCTTTCAGGGGGTGGTATATAAAAGAATTTAAATTGTGGGTAATATTTTGCATGAATTGTAATATATGAACCCTAAAAACATAACACTGAGGATTTAAAAAAAAATCTAGAGTGAAATCCTGAATTTTGAAGACATGTATATATTTGATACCACTGTCCATTTAAGATTTTTCTCCATGTAGCTGCTCATTGTTAATTTTTTAAATCTATTTTTGCATATTTATATTGTATATTTAGAAGGGGATTTAGGTTTAAAACCAATAATTTCTAAAATTTCTGTAGAAGTTTCTGTAGAAAATTTCAGAAATAAAATTTACCTTTTAGAAACTTTGATAATGTCACCCAGTTGAACAAACTTATGCAAAATATGTGGGGAAGCTTTTGAAAGTCATTTAAATTCAATATTATTATTCTAGCAAAAAATTTAATAACACTGAAGGTATAAGCTGTATCATGCTAACTGTAACAGCATGTTATAAGGAATTGTAACTCAGCTGAAAAACGAAAACTTTCAATTTAACCTTTATAAAAATATTATATTTATACTATAAAGAGAGCTTGCATCTTGCTATGATCCCAAGTCATCAAAATTCCCACCCCTACAAGCACATTTTTTATTCAGTTTTAAAAAGGACACAGTAAAGTCTCCTTTTTAATTTCTAGCAAATATAGGATATAATATATCATTTTGTTCAGGAAGAAAAGTCATTAAATGGTATCTGATACACCTCGAAGACCTTTTCCTATTTTCAGCTTCTTTTATTAAACTTTTTAAGGTCTTCATAACCTTTTGAGACCTGTAGAAGCCTTTTTCCTAAATAATAGCATTAATAACAAACAATAATATATAAAGTTCAGCCTGTGTAACATCCTATATTTGCAATCCCCCCCCTCCACTCCAAAATGATTTTTGAATTTTAAAACATGAGACTGCCAACAACAATACAAAGATAAGAAATTCATGTGTGCGATCGATTACCCACTAGTGACAGTGTTCAAGGTGTAAGACGACAGGCTCTGACATCACAGAAGCAACAATTCGTTCTGTTACGGCTCCACTTCACATTACAAGAATCATACGTTCACAGCCAATGTCAAGGAATTTTAGCGATATCATCAAACCTCTCAACTTCAGAGAGGCTGACAGACCAATGATCCGCTCCTCTTATATAATTTTAACTATAATGAATCACAGGACGTAAAACAGAACCGAGAAATTAAAGCATGACTAATTCAGTCTGCAAACTGTTTTAGACGAGGCAAGAACTGAGAATGTTCTTAAACTCTCAACTGTAGACAGACTTGTCACTAGTAAATCTCACATAATCACATCTCGCACAATATCTTCACATAACGACAAAAATGATAATAACCGGTTCTGTGTTTACAATGTTTTGTACTGTAATGTATTCTCATAGCTTTATATTAAACATATTTTATAGTGCACAATCTTAATAAACACAACCAACACCAGTTACCATATGGAGTCATGCTATCAATCAGTCCAGCATACCATCACCATCAAGACTTTTAAACGAGATACATTAATTTAATAGCTGCAAAATATTAAGCAATAATAGGGTAATGCTGTCATCTAGTATCAATAAAAAAACAGCAGAACTCAAGATTACAGCATTTGGTACAAAATATTAGCATTTTTAGGAGGCACAAATTTTCTGGTATATTTAATATACCACTGACCTTCAAAGGGTTAAAATATTTTGCTTTCTTATCATCTTTAATGAGGTAAATGTTATCTTAATGAATGGAAATTAATAAGACAGACTAAAAAAGTAAATATACAAGTTTAGCTAATAAATGCAGTTTATTAGCTCCTGATGGTCTAATACTAGAACCTATTGAAAATTCTATAGAATATAAGTTGGTTTATTTTTTTGCTTAACTACATGCATTAATAGGTAGCACATGATGCCATCTTTTGGTATATAGCAGATATTCTAAGCAAAATGTTGCATTTTGTCAATATCAGCATTTTCTTGGAATGATACCACTTGCAGAGTGCCATAACCTTGCTTTTTGTGCAATAAAATTTCAATATCATTTGCGCAATAGCTAGTAAGTTTTTTTCTCAACATTGGTGGCTTCATATGTTTTGGTATATTTTTTTTTTTTAACTAAGAATTACAAATTCTTACATCTTGTTCTCTATGAGGTGTGAAAATCAATCCTTATGATTTAAAAAATTTTCGAATTTCTGTAGCATAGGGACTGATAGAATTTCCAAAAAGGGAAAAACGCAGACCAAAAAGTTTAGATTTAAAAACATGTTCCAAAAAATACAAATGTTTTGCTCCACCTGAGATTGGCCAACAAGAAGCAGCACATGCCAAATATATGGGACATCCCTGTGATCTGGTTTATACAGTACAAAAGCCTGATGCCGACATATTTCAGTACTCTGCCCGAATGATTAGAACTGTTTTTTACAGTATCAATTAAATCAATACATATAGTTCCAGTGAGTAACCAATATGGTTTCTATAATAATTAAAAAATTCAATAAAAATTGTTGTTCATATTACCTATTACAATATGTTAATAAAGCAAACAAAGTTTCACTTGCAACTTTTTTTTTTATGGGGGGAGCCTCATACATATATTCATGAGCAGATCCAAAAAGCCATGCCACTCAGATGGTAATTTCTCAAAACTAAGAAAAGTATTTACAGGCAATGACTGGACACATTTGAAAATGCTTCTCTAGGTTAAAGAATCTGTTCCCACAACTGCCAAATTTAAAATATGAAAAATCTGGAGGTTCACCCAACAAAACCAGGAATTTGTGGAGAAGGCTTTTGCACTATGCAGCACCACCATTTTAAAAGAAATCAAAACTGATTTAAATTTACTTTATAATTTTATGATTCAGTTTATTCAACTATTTACAATATGATTCTGATGTAAAATATATTAACATTTAGTTACATCTAAAATTAATGTTCTTTGGCTAATTTCATTTTGTATTTTTTTAAGCTTTCATATTGAGAAAATTCTGAATATGGAAATAAAGCTTTAATTTACCAAAGTACTTTTAAATATGGAAGTTGTTAAAATTATTTGAATTGCATATTTTTCATGTTTACTATTCTGAAACAGGCCTAATGACTCTCTCTCTATATATATGTGTAAAACGAAAATAAATACAAAAATTACATATTAATGTAAAACGTAAACTGATATTAGCATAAAACAAACATATTGAAGTAAAACATAAACCAAAATTGGCATAAAAACAAACACATTAATGTAATTAATTTGGTTCAATTAAAATATTAATCATTTGGTTCAAGCTTCATATCAAGTTTTACTGATTTCAACAATATAATTAAGACAATTCAAATAAAATAAAATTTAATTAGGAAAAAATATCCTGAATATCACAACGGATGGGGGGAATTAAATTTGCAAAATTTAAGCTTCATTTATTCAATAATGATATTTAAACTGCAAACTTTATCTGTACAATTTAATTTGATTGCTGAAAAACACTTTCATTAAAAACTGAAAGTTTGGGAGATGTGTTAAAAAACCAGAAGAATCAGCAGCTATGACATTCAAAAGAAATACTGAACAATACTTAACAAACAATTTGAAAAGATAAGAAGCTACATTCTACATATGTGATAATATTTCAAGAAAATGAGTTACTACGGATTACTACAAGATTTATCGTATTTACTTACATATTTTTTCCCCTTCCAGAATCTCCGCCCCAATTGTGTTCAATATGATTTAGAAACTTCTGACTTATGATAATGCAAAATGTATACACAAACAGAAAGGCACTTTGTGCAAGTAAAAAAAAAAAAAAAAAAAATGCTGAAATTGATAAGTCCTTTGAAATACATTAATGTACTTCCAAGTTGGCTTTTTTAATGTGCCATGTTTATCATTTAAACTATTTCTCCAGTAATAGTATATACTCAGCACTTTTTCCCCCCCAGTTTCAGGTGGTAAGATTAGAAAGGAAACAAGAGGGAACTAAGCTAATAAATACAGTATCTAAATCTTAATTGCATTCACTACTTTTGGAAAACATAAAAATTTTTTATTTCTTACACACAAGATTTTTAATTACAATCTGGGATTCCTTCTTTTAAAAATTACCTGAATAAAATGATGATTTAAATCAAAAATTATTTTAAGATTTTAATTATATGATTAAAATTAAATTTGATGCAAGACAGAATTTCATAGCAGTGACAAGCAATGGCTTTATATGCTGAATGACAAGATTTCCTTATTCTCAAATGCAATACTAATATTGTTAATAGTGCAAACATGTATTAATGATTTCCTGGATGAGTTCACTATAAAAAGATTCAGAACTACTCTTTAATGACTCTACATCTACAGAAGTAATCTTTTCTCCATAAATTTCTATAAAATAGCCTAATAAAAACTTCAAAAAATCACTATAAGAGAAATAATACATACACAATGGGGACAACTCCATTTTCCTTCTGGAGGTTCTTCAAGATCAGGATCTAAACATACTAAATGATAAGCTCTAGGACAAGTGTCACATAATATAATTTCACCTCCTTGTTGACATACTTCACAATAATCTTGATGATCAGTCTGCAAAAAAGAAAAAAAAACTTTAAATAGAAGTATAACACGTTAAAAATTCTGATTTCATTCATTTATGTAATTTAAAAAAATAAAATATTTTATAAAAGTAATATGAATTATCCTTTCTTTCTTGTAATGTTTTGTCATTATAACAGCAAATACATTACAGTACTCAATAAGCAAAACATACATCTTTTAATTCATAAACTACCAAAACACAGCTCAGATATTCAGTTATCCTACACTATTAATGATGATCTGAAATGCACTGCACCATCTTATTAACTTTTTAAATGAAAGCATTTTTATTTTCAGTTTATTAAAAGGTTTTGTTATAAAAATAAACTGTAGCTAATTATCATTGTGTACCACAGAATGATACTCGGATACATTTTAACCATTCATACACCACATACACCAAACTTCCTTGTCAAAACCACCTCTAAAATGAATAGTATTTCTAAGAACACAAGTAAAATTTGATATTGAATATGACATCTCTAACACAACTATCTCCATTGAAGTTCAAAATCATATAGAAACATGCCATAAGCAACTAAGAGCCCCACAATATTAGGTAGGTGATTTGATATCATCACCAGATGCAATTATATGTATTAAGTTCAAACTACAGCATACACACACCTGCATTTTCTGCAAGAGGTACCACATGAATTGTGATGCAGAGCATGTTAACACATTTATAGCATCTAAAAGGTTACATTTTATCACACAGCTTCCATATAATATAAATTTACAAGCAGGATTACTAGATATTCGGGACTGGCCCAAATAAACCTGCATTTGTAATTGACTTGGAATCTGTCATGGATTGAAGAAATGTAAAGAATTTTTAAATGAGTGGTTACAAAAGATGAAGCAATATATATATATATATATATTCAAATTTTCACTTCTTCATGTCACTTCAAAATTTTCTCAACAGCCAGGAATTCACTTCTTTGGAGCCTATCAAATAGCACCTACATAAATTTTTTTAAAAATAATTTTCCATCCTCTGGCAAGATATGGTGTTTTTGTGATTCAATTAAATTTTGTCATATATTTATAGTGCTTTAATGTTCCAGATGACTCAATTTTCCTTGGTTTATCATTTTTTTTTGGGGGGGGGTACATACAAAATTTTGTTTTTCATTCAGTGTCATGTAATTTACAAGGTAGCTTTTCTTAATAGCAAAAACAAATTACTTTGAAAATGTGCTGGATTACCTTTTCTTAAACATTGTAATTCTACTTTTCTGCGACAAATAAGGGAACATATGACCATTTGGTGTATTCAATTACAGCCTATTTTTTCCTTTAAATGCAGAATGTGACATCTGTTTCATAAAAGAAGAATCACATAATTTAAAACATAAATTGCACCTAATCGATTTTTAAAATTTCACTTTTTCCAACACTGTGAAATTTTTACACTGGTAAAATTATATAATTCATTTCTATTAGAACACAGCTCACGGCATATTAACAGTCTTCTGAAATAAAATATATTCTTCAAGTTCCCACCACTGCACTAAACACACATAAAATATATTTCACCAATTATTCCTCTTTCCCTCTCTACGACTGTGAGTGTAGAAACTCATAGCTACTTTCTTGAAATTGTTAAGTACATAAATACCTACCAATGGCCTGAAAAAACATTTGGAGGATTTTGGTACTTTTCTGTTAAGGATACCAGTTTCAAATGTGTGCCAAAATTTCTAACGTGGTATTCTGTTTATTTCATGTCATAAGTAGCTGCACAATACCCAATTTGTGCTCTTTTTTTTTTTTTTTTTTTTTTTTTTTTTTTTTTAAAAGCAAAACCTATCTATAAGGAGAACTGCTGTTTTCATCATATACACTGGAGAACAATTCTCTTCACGTACACAGTGACCTGTTTTCTCTATAGAAAAGATCAGAAAATTACATAAATATGGCGTCACTTCTTCAAATATAGACAGCAATCAGTTTGCACTTAAAAAAAAAAAAAAAAAATCAATGGATTGCACAAATTCAGCAAAGCTTCAACATTCCATACATTAAACATCGTATACCGAGTCATCCACAAAGTTTTACGGTTTTTCAGATGGCAGTACATTTTTTTCTAATTATTTTGTTGTTGCTGATAAGTGATTTTGATTAAAATCATGTCTACAGTCCTTTCTGTTTGCATTCTGTAATTCAATAATGTAATGTAATTTCTTTCACATTCCATAAGTATGGAGAACACAAAGGTTCATTTTTGTCATATATGCTCTTTTAAATTACTATTCAGACTGTTTGTAAAATTTTTGCCAAGAAGATAATACCCACTATGAACAATCATTATCTGTAAACACGGACCTATTTAAAGTAAGCTATTGTTAAAAATTCATGTTGTGCAATTCAGAATCTATTAGAGCCACTAAATATTCCAAAAATACAGTACATGATATAATTTGAAGAGAACTAGGTATGTAAGCTACCATGAAGTATGGATACCTCATGCTTTAATGCAGCAGAAAAAACCTGCTGAGTTCAGCATATGACTCTTTGCTAGAAAGAAAGGAGCTCCTTTATTAAAACGGTTCATTATTGGGTAAATAATGCCACAAGTAAAATATCACTGGGCACAGCAAAAGAATCTCCTTTAGCAACATCAAGATGGGAACTGCATCCATAAAAGTAATGCTTTGTGTATTGTGGGATTGCAAAGCAATCGTACACTATGAAGTTGCTGTCATCAAGTCATTTACTTATCATAAAAAATCCACATAGCTTTTCAAATGCCTATACGTGATACATAACTGTTATTACAGATTAATTTTTTTCAAGAAGCTACACATATGGTTAGGGTAGCTTGAATCTAGTTAGATTTTGCACAAACAGTTATATTTGCTCTTAAGTGGAGCCCTATTAACCCATTAGCCGATGGTGTTGCGTTGACGCAATGGTCAAAATAAATGCATATATAAATAACTACCTAAGATACTTTGGACCAGCAGATGATTTTGTGTAAGGAATATTATGAAGCTTATTTCTGTAAAAAAATATTTGCCTTCAACAATCATTTTGTTTATAATAATTAATCTCATACTTTAAGCAAAATTTAAGTAAAATTTTTGACTGGATATTTTTTCCGAAAAAATAATTAATCCCATACTTTAAGCAAAATTTAAGTAAAATTTTCGACTGGGTATTTTTTTCGAATCGCAATCTTTATAAGTGATCTATTTTTAGTCAAGGTCACCGTTTATCAGTTATATTTGTGTTGGGAAGGAAGGGAAAACGGGTGTTGCGCTAACGCAACGTCAGCAGGAAACGGGTGAGCTCCTTTTTTACTCATTAGTTTTGATGTTCCTCACTATCTTATATACGGTCTATGGAATCTGTGCTAGTCTTAATATCTTTTGAGGGATCTGAAAATTAAGCTAGAATAGAAACTAAGCTAAAAATAATATCTCCGAATCAATAACAAATTACTATTTTAAACATTTGCTGCTTAAAATGAACAAAAATGGCAATAGTCATCAGTCACTTACTTCGTATCCATCATTTTCACCCTCTGAGCCAGGAAAGCTGGAAGTGGTTTTTGTTTTCTTCTTCTTTTTGGTTTTCTTTGTTTTACTTTTCTTTTTGGCAGGAGGAGGACTCATATTTTGAGCTTCTTCTAATGCTGCTTCAAAATCAGCATCACTTTTATCACTGTAACTTTCATCTTCTTCCTAAATTAATTAAATTCTATATGAGCCTTCATGTTTAAAAGACTCACTTTTCTATTTATTTTAAAGGTTTCATATTACAGTATTCTTAAAACTTTTATTTGGTACTTTATGCTTATATATCTCATCAAATTATTTGCTAATTTTAGGCATGAAATTGCTGCCATCAAATCTTCGTCTTTTCACATAATAATAAAAACAACAAAAAAAAAAAAAAAAAAAAAAAAAAGTAAATGTTGGTAAATGTTTAGGCATAATGCCAAAGAGTTTTAAAAGCAATACTGAAACTAAATTTATGATCAATGTTAGTAACACCAATTACCGTTTGCCCTTTTTTTATTATACATTCATTAACACTTTAAGTAATCTATTACTAAAAATTGAAGAATCTGTATGTGTGTTTGTCATGCTGTGAAAAGACGGCAATATATAAAGTTAATTGGTTTTTTAAATACAGTTGTGCACTTCAAAGCATGGATTTTTAATTTTTATGATTTATGTAAACTTAACACGTTGACTGCCATGGCACTTTTCGAATCCTGAAAAACGATTTAAAAGCAGTGTGTTGCCTTTCGGTAATGTTACTTATCTTTCAAATTTAATCTTCTGTTGAATACCACTACTACCAACTACACGATTTAAAAACAGTTCTTAATGTACTTATTTTACTTTCTTAACTGTGTATCTGAATAAAATAAAAATGCATTTAATTCACAATATATCTAATTACTAACTTAAACGAACATTTGCAACATTCTGCAATTTATAACAGAAATTTCTAAATGTTGTATGGTACACAACTCGTATATAATCTTCAACTCTTCCAAATTTTTATCTTTTTTTTTTATTTTTGAAAAGTAAATCCTTCTTCAAGTAAATGAAATTGTAATTTGTAATGAAAACATTAAATGGAATTGTCTTGCCTAGAAGTACAAGTATTAATAATTTGTACAATATGCTTTCATATTCATTATGTTTAGTCTGTCCAGTCTATCCTCCGTCTTATGATAATTAAAATTAAGATTCTATTCTTATGATTCTATCCTCTGTCTTAATGTATTATAGTCATTAAATTCCTTTCCTGATCTTTTCAAAAGTCCTTGGGAAAAGACTCATTAGGGGTTGCTATATAGGCAGACAGAAAAAGAAACTTTATCATAGAAATAAAATACATGATGAACTGCAATAGAACGACATTCATGTTCTTTATCAAATTCTTCCATAAAACAAAATTAAAAAAACTTAAAATTCTGAAAGCTTTCAGATTTTATATTACACCCAAAGGGGCTTCAATTCAACAGAAATATCGTAAAATAATTTTTAAATGAGCATATCATTAGAATTTCCAATACACAGTAGCTGCTAATAATTGTTGCCATTGCTCACTTTGAAATCGCTGAGTTTTTTTAATCAAAGATTCATTAAATGTTACAAAATATGAAATAAATAATAAAACAAATTCCAAATTTGGACTTCCAGATGCCCATATTCAGAGAAGGATTACAGTATTCAAAATTTCATGGGTCTAGGTACAGTTGTTTTATCACAATGCGAGAAACATACATTTATGCAGATTCTTCATTACTTAATTTCTTTAAATATAACACCAGGTGATATTTGGTGGTAACAGTTTGAAAAGTGATACGGACATTTACAGTGAATCAACGTAAAATGCCGAAACGAAATTAACAGTCCTTCTGAGCTAACGCTCCTTTGGGCTAAATCCATATCCGAGTTAATATCAATACTGCCAGTAAACACTAAAAAACAGAATAATGTACCAAAAATTATGCAAATATAGTTTAGCAAATCTGAAAGAAAGAAAAAAAGACAATTCATATTTTATTTTTCACTTTTAGTTGCTAAATAATAACATGTATTTGTTGCAATGACAAAAGTAAATCTGTCAGACTAAACACAGCTGATTGTACAATCAATCATAAAGAAAATAATTGGTTATTTACTCAGCTAGCTAGCCCCTCATTTCTTTAACCCTTTATTTGACATGGTTGCTCAGAAACAAGGTGTGTTTTTACCATTTGCCAATTAAACAGTTAAGGGCCTTACTACCACTGATTCTAATTCCAAATAAGTGAAAAGAAGTACAAAACCTAAGAAACTTGTTGCTTCAGGTGCCCCTTCAAAGAAAGATTCAGATGAATGCTCACCGAATCAGACAAAAAAGGGGGAATTAAAAATTCTGGGCTTCCTTTAAAAACCTAGCCAAGCAAACACCCTCCCAGAAAGTTCTCCTATGATTTCCACTTCAAATAAATTTGAAGTGGAAATCATAGGAGAACTTTATTTTAATCAAAATAAAGACTCGCACGGCGAAAATTTTTCAAAGGAACTAGAACACGTGAAGTTGTTCCAAATAACTTGACTGCTGAAAGTAAAGGTAAAAAGAGTCTGCTGCCAATCATTTGCCCACAACCAAAGATGACATGAAAGGTCCAGAATTATATGAGATAACTATCCAGAGAAAACACTGCAATTTTCTTCTTCAACTCAAGTGCAATGTGTGACAAAACTTTAGCTTGTCTGATGAAGTTTAGCACTTTCAGAAGCTAAATACAATTTTCCCATGAAGACGGCATCAGGTCTCCCTGATGACACAGAATCAAAAGGATGCAGATAAAAGTATTCATTCTTTCAAGTGTATTTTGCAACTACAAGTGAAGAAGGGCTTTACACACAAAGTAATTGCCTTATGATGTGCTTTAGATGACAGTGACATGGACTAATGTTTTGTAATAACAAGGCCTGGGTATCTCAAAAACTGTGCAAAGCACCTGATATGTCAGCTCCCTAAAGTTTAGAAACTAGCTTGTGTCAGATGTAAAACCCAGCACACTGCATCTTCTATGCCAACTCATAACAAGACTGACATTATCACATGCACTGTTCCTAAGAACAGGAAAATGCAACCTATAGCTCCACTTGCACCACTGTAGAAAGAACTCTCTACAAAGCAAGTGATGGACATTTTCACTCAGAAAGACTTAAAGGAACATTCTACAAAATTTGTAGAATTAGCCTCAAAATTGAGGACAGTGAAATCTCCTACATAAAAACTGAAGTTAGTTCTCTCCCTATAGGAAATGTTTGACATGGAGGAAAATGAATTGATCCTACTTCAACGGATGATAAAGCAATGTGAATGATACATGGCCATCACCCAGACACCCGCAGATGCCTTTCCGGCTCTACTCTTCTCTATGCAGCTACGCATCCATTTTCTCACCAAAAGATACCATCACCCTATCGTAAGCACTTTCTTAGTGTTAGCCTCATGTTTTCTTCGAAAGCAGAAGTGCTTTCTTCTCTTCTATTCTCTTTTTAGATCTTTCTCCTGGAGAACTTCAACAGAGTATCATATATTAAGTACTACCAAATATTAAGTAAATACACTAAGTACAATAACTTTTGAGTAGCAACATGAGATAACCTATTATATGCATTTATCCACATTTACAATTAACAATCAAAGAACACAGCATAAATAAGTTATTTTGAGCAACAATAATTAAACTTACTGAGCTGTGCCTCTTTCTTTTACCAAAACCCCCGATCTTGATTTTCAACATAGGAACAGATTTCCGGCTTTTTGATTTTTTGGGCTTGGGGTATGTCTTCTCAAAATCTGCAACATTTCATGTTAAAATTTATGTCATGCATTAATTAGGGATAAAATTTATAACTAATTTTCAAAACATTATATTTCATACCTTCTTTAGGTTTTGGCTTAGGGATAACCACCCTGTCCTCTTCATCCAAAATAGCTTCCCGGTTTGGATTATTCTCTAGGAACTCACGCCATTTTGCAGATATGAGAGTGACCATTTTTGATATAGCAATTTTAGGATTAGCTTTAGCAATAATTGGTCGTATATGTTGTGAAAACAGTTTGTAATTTGTTAATGTCTGATAATCTTCATCTGTATAATCGAGCACCACATCTTCTAAACCAAATTCTGTACAAATTTCAGATGAACTTTTTTGAGCTTGAAATGTCTAAAAGAAGGTGGAGGGGAAAAAAGAGAGAAAAATTAAGTAACAGTGACTTGTATTGAAATTTTAGCATAAAATTTTACTCCAAGTTATAAATATTTTGGGAGGAAAAGACAAAAAAAAAAAAAAAAACATACATTCACTACCTTTTCTACTTTGGGTTTTTTGGGCTTCCTACTTTCTGCGACAAAATCACTATCATTATCAGAGGCACCACCACCAGATTTACTATCACTGTCCTGAAACGAAATTTATTTTAAAGGTTTAAAATTCCTTTAATTAATTAAACAGAAATTATAAAGAAATACTACAATTATTTCATAAATATTCACCTTGAATCATTCACACACTCATACCACTAAAAATTATTATATGCAGAGAGAGAATTTTATTACATTGCAAAGTAAATCCATACAAATGTTACATATAAATTAAATCACTTTTGAGTACAAATTAATACTTATTTTGCATTAGATATATCATATATTCAGAATTCTGATAAAAAGTAGATCAGTGGATACTCTTTAGTAAACTATGTATAAATATAATTACTTTATTAATAAATGGCAAAATTTAACTGTAGTTTAAGACATTAATTCAGAAACCTCTAATTTTGGGAGGGAAAAAATGTTTCTTTCAAAAGCATATTATTTTACACTAGCATAACTTCCAAACTGTTCGAGCTTCTAACAATACTTTTACCTGAACTCTATTATGAGGAATGTTTTTTAAGAAAGGGCCATTTGAAAATATAATCCAAACGAAATAAACATTTCAAAACCAAATTTATTTTCAGATTCTACACATGTTTCTTTGTTTTTCAACATAGTTGCCAAGTTTGTTTTAACACTTATCATACCTTAGAACTAGATTTTGAATACCCTCTTCATAGAAACTTGTCACCTGCTCCGATAACCAAGAGGTCATGGCCGTTTACATGCTGTCATCATTGTTGTAGTGGTTGATGGCGAGATGATGTTTAAGATAGCGCAAAAGATGAAAATCGCTCAGCGTTTAGGTCTGTGCTGTAGGGGGTGGTTCAAAACTTCCCAGCCAAAAGAGTCCAATACAGCTCAGGTCTGAGGCCTTGCATTTTCATGGAATCGCAAAATTCCCTCTGTCAGCATGCTATGTCTTTTGTTTTGAATCACTCAGCTTAGCTTTTTCGGGGTTTGGCTGTAGGCTACTCCATTTATGGCGGTTCCGCGTTACATGAAGTCGACTAACAAAACACCTTGCCTATCCTAAAATGTGGACGCCATGATCTTGCACAGGGATAGAGTCTGTTTAGCCCTGACTCTTACAGAAAAGTGTGCGTGTGTCTCCATTCCATGTTCTGAAACCCCTGTTTCGTCTCCTGTTATGATTAGACTAAACATGGCATCACTTTCTTCGTTATAATGAGTCAAAAATTCAGCAAAAAATCAAATCTTTTTTTTTTTTTTTTTTTTTTTTTTTGTCATCTGTTAGGAGTTTAGGGACCCAATGGGAGCACAGTTTCTTAAACCTTAACTTTTCAGAAGTATGGGAGCATGGTTTTTTAAACCTTAACTTTTCAGAAGTAATCTTGTACAGTCACCTAGACATTTCAGGATTTGTCTGGAGTAAAAAAATTGAGCGAACACTCAGATCTTTTGCTTTGGTGGTCCTTCGTTAGGAGTTTAGAGAACCAACGGGAGCAGTTTCTTAAGCCTTAACTTTTCAGAAACAATCTTGTACAGTGCTGACCTAGACACTTCAGGAAATTCATTTGAAAGAGTGCTAGTGGTGAAGCATCTGTTCTCAAGAACTTCTGCTTCAACTGAAGCCACCATATCATCTCTGATCACAGGTGGAAAACAGAAGCGGGGACTCACCATGGATATTGTCACGGCCAGCTTTGAAGTCTTCGATCCACTTACACACTCTGCCTTCACTTATGGCAGTAACTTCGTAAACTTCACAAATAATGATGGTGAATGTCTGCAATAGACAGGTTTCTTCCCAACAAAAAATGTATCACTGACTGAACCTCGCAGGGGATAGACTATACAATAATTTTGAACATTTTAAAGGCACAGAATAAACCGTACAGGTTACCTACACAGTTGCTTCCAAGGAATGATGGGACACGACTCAAGCACTCGTTGCGGCGGGCGTACCACCTATTAGTATATACAACAAAACAGCCCTTGCTTAAAAAACACGCTACATATATACAATACCACTCTTAATTTAATTACAAAAGCAGCAAAATTTATGCAGATTTAATAAGCCAGTATTCCACATCTTGAACATTGGATAGCTTTAACAGAAAAACTGTTCAGAAGATATTTCATTATTGGAATAACTAAAAACTACTGTGAAGATGTTCATTTGTTCATATTTTACAAATGATATTACAGTAAGTTTGTTTATCAACACACTAGTTCTGAATCTTTTAAAAGTTGCCCAGGCAGATTTTGAGCTTGTTCTACCATGTAAAAGGAAATTTATTCTGAAACAGAATCAAAATCTTTTGTATATGGCTTTACACTTATGCTGATGAATCTACAGATGCTAATACATGTAAATGTAGATGATGGAACTTTCTGTTATACGTTCACAAAAAGAGGTTGTATGAGTTTTTTTTTTTTTTTTTTTGTGATAATTTTAATCAGTTCTCTTTGTTTCTGAGGCCTTAAATACAAGGCTGGAAAAGAAGGTGATTGATTTCCAGGCCGCCATAAAAGTGCTGCTGAATATAAATTATATGTCTTCAACAGCTGAACCATATTAAAAGGAAATCATTAGTTAGTTTGCGAATAAGGGAAAGGAGATTCCTCTCCAATGCAGCCTAAGCCACACTAAGATTCCATGCAGATATACTTGTTCAATCAGCCTCATTACCTCAAGCAAATCTTTCTGTGCAAAACTGTAAAACAACGATTCTAAATTCAAATTAAAATGCTATTAAAACTAAATAACGACACCTGTTATCAAAATGCTGCTACAGGAAAGAATTAGGAACATCTTAACAGAGTAACAAACAGGTTCTTTATACTCTACTTCGAAGAGTTAGAAGTGACGTGCTTGCGCTGACTACTTTCAACATCATCTGACGACTTCTGTAACATGCCAATTTCATAACTATTACTTTATGACTAGACATTAACTTTGCTGGATGATCTGAATAAATAGTACCAACTAAATAGACATTTCTTAAACTGCATTTCTTATTTGCATTGAATGGCAAAGTGGTGCATGGCTGAAAGGCCAAGACTAGGTATCAATTTAAAGCAAAATTTACTTTTGCGAAATCTGCAAAAATTAGTTTTGTTAATAATGAAAAAATCTGAAAAAACATTTTTACAGAAAGTAAAAGTAATTTTTGTTTTTTATGGGATAGATGAAGCTGTTTCTTTGTCAACGGCTGTGCAACATCCAATATAATATTTAAAAAACATGCATACATCTTGTTCAATACCCAAAATTCCGTATTTAGATATTGAATATCTAACATTCATATATGCGATTTTAAGTATACAAAGCCATGAATTGTATTTTTACACAAATATATTGTGCAGAAGAGAAGTAATTGCTTGACAGCTTATATATGATAATAATTCACTAATTACATTCAGCGAACTTTTCAAAAATGGTAGTGCTAACAATTCTGGAAAAATGAAACTAAATAAATCAAATTTTAATTTGATAAATACTTCTCTCTTCACTATTCTCAGACTGTCCAAGGGTTTGCAGACTGAGATTAAAGAATGACTGATCTAAATTACAGTGGTGGCCAAAATTGTGGACACTTTTGGAAATTTTTATGTTTTTGAACTTTGTATGCTTATAGAAAATGTTACGTTTCGCAAAATGCAAACTTGTATATATCATTTTAAAGAGAATTTATTACTGAATTCAATACAAAACACAAAATTCAATTATTTGCAATACAAAAAAAGTTATATGTACTTTAATATAAATAAAAAACACAGTCATGAAGTGGTTTGTAATGTCTAGCTTTCCTGGCCATTCACTGTTCTTGTTCTGAGAACCAATCAAATGTTAGTAACTGCCAGTAGAAGCTGACATCATGTTTACATTTGAAACAATTCATTATTTTGCTTTGTTCTGTAGAAGGAGGACCTGTTCCTTATACACTGCAATTACAAGTAGAAATTTTTGTAAAAATTTTTAATATTTAATCAAGAAGCAATGACATCAAATAAAAGAGTAGATTGGACACCTAGAAAGAGACGTAATATATTGTGTTATGAGAAAATGGTCTTTCCTATGCTGAAATTGCAACACAGGTGGGTGGTTCAGTGACTACATCTGGAGTCCGAAAGTTTTGTTTACGATATCAGGAGACAAATTCAATAAAAAACAAAGAAGGAAAAGGCCAAAAAAGGTGCACCATATCTATTGATGACAGAAGAATAAAAAGACTATGTCTCCAAGACACAAAAATTTTATCAGTGGCCATCAGAAGTGATCTGAATGATGCTGCTCAGTTAAAAGCTCTGTCAGTTTAAGAAAAATCAGGAGAAGATTAACAGATGTTGGACTGAGAGGTAGAATTCCACGAAAAAAGCCTTATCTTAATTTTCAGCAACAAAAAAAAAAAGACTACAGTGGGCAAAGGAACACATTAATTGGACAGATGATCAGTGGTCACAAGTTATATGGAGTGATGAAACTAAGATATCGTTATTCGGTAGTGATGGGCGAAAATATTAGAATAGGAGAAGAGCTACATCCTGAATGCATTCAAGCAACTGTGAAGAACCCAGTTAGTGTTATGATTTGGTCATGCATGTCAGCAGATGGTACTGGTCGCCTTCATGTCATCGATGGGACACTGAATGCCAGAAAATACATTGACACTATTCTAGAACCAAAACTTCTACCTTCCATCAGAGATCTCTTTCCCAACAATGCTTCGTTTATTTTTCAGCAGGATTCTGCCACTTGCCACACGGCCAAAATATCAAAAGAGTGGTTTCGTACAAAGAGTATTAAATTGTTGTCACGGCCAGGAAACAGTCCTGACCTCAATCCTATCGAAAATTTGTGGCACCGTTTGAAAACTCTTGTCCGAATGAGGCGCCCATCAAATAAAAGGGAACTAATTGAGGCTATAATTGTTTCTGGCATCATGTAATAAAGAAAGAAGAGCTTAAAACTCTTGTCAGCTCAATGAAACGTCGATGTGAAGCTGTAATAAAAAATAAAGGTTACCCTACAAGTACTGATAACTCACTGCAATCATCACTATCTAATGTATATCGATAACTATTATCGTTTAACTTTTTTGTATTGCAGGTAATTGAATTTTGTGTTTTGTATTGAATTCAGTAATAAATTCTCTTTAAAATGATATATACAAGTTTGCATTTTGTGAAACGTAACGTTTTCTATAAGCATACGAAGTTCAAAAACATAAAATTTTCCAAAAGTGTCCACAATTTTGGCCACCACTGTATACCTATTTGTTAATAAATAAGATAGAAATTAGACAATTACTTAATGATTAAAAATAAAACCTTCCTCATTTTAAAGCAAAAGAATATTATGCATATATAAAATATACAAAGGCTTACTACCTCTCCACTATCAGACATTGCTTTTTTCTTTTTTTTCTTTTTTCCTTTTTTTCTTTCGCTGTCTCCCCGAGCCTTCCGCTTTTTTCCTTTCTCTCTTTTAGGTTTAGGAGGTGTTTCTGCTTCTTCTATATCTTCATCGTCATCCCCATCATCATCAGGAGCAGGAGGTTCACTTTCATCTGGTGCACCATTGGAATTATCTTCTTCAACATTCTGAGTTGCATTTCCTTCTTCTTCACCATCCTGATCATCTGGATCTTCAGGTAATGTGTTCTCATCTTCACCATCATCTAATTCATCCTCTTCAGTTCCTGAAGGAAACAAAATAAATGAGCAGTTTTAAATAAATAAAAATGATGCATAATGTTAATCAATTATAATTAAAAAACTACATAAAACTTGAAATTCATACACACACTGTAATGTACCCTTTTTAACCACTAGCACTAAAAAGACGTGCCACGCACGTTGAGATGCTTTTGTTTCAAACTGCGAGCGATGTGAACACTACGTCGATAGGCATTTATCGCAAAAATGAAAATAACGTGGTGCACACTTCGCCTAACAAGATTGTTTATTTCTTGAGTTACAGCTCTGGATTGCACTCACAGACGCGGAGCGGCGTAAATGAGACACTTTTCCGCTTGTTATATTGTAGCGCACGGCACCACAACTGTGAAGTTTAGTCATAGCGCAAGTGGTTAAGAAAAATGTTTAATCATGAAAAATGTCTGCCTAGCAAACTAAGCATACATGCATTAAATATTTAAATAAATTTGTATTAAAAATTAACATATTTGAAGAAGGATAATAAATCATGCATTTTTAAACTGAATCCCTGCAGTTATAAAAATCAGAATATCGTAAACAGTCAAATGCTGCAAAGTAATATAAAAATCAAAGAATATTTCATATAAATATAAGATACATTTACTTATAGCTTCCTAATTATACTGCTGTATTCTATAACCAATAACAAGCAAAAGAAGCAATTCTAACAGGGAAGTAATTTTGAATGATGGCATTACTGTTAAATGACACAATGAATTGGTAGTACTCATATTATGATTGATGACTCTGTGCACAAATTGATATTATGATTGATGACTCTGTGCAGTTATTTAACTACTTATTAACTTTTTCGGTAAAAGTGTACAATTGGCATTTTTTGGCAATTTTTTTACCGCCAAGATCGGCACCAGGAAGGCACAATATCAAGATGGCTCAAAAAAAGAAGTCAAAGAATTGCACAAACTCTGTGTCATCCATGTACACATCTATCTATTTTCATTTAAAAAAAAAAAAAAATCGGAGAATTGCACAACCTAGGCATTGCGCACTGCCTTAACTTTGTCCATGTACACATCAATCTATATTTTCATTATAAAAAATTAAAGAAGCTAAAACAAAGTTAAAACTATCATGGTAACCAGAAATGAGGTTTTAACGCCAAAATTTAACAAAATTTGTTGCTAATCGAAGGAGCACCCAATTCTACACTAGAGCCATTTTTTTAAATAATTGCATGATTGCATTATTTTTCTTATATTTTGTAATTTTCTAATGTTTATTTCAACTACTTTGAATTCTATTTCATAATGACAATTTCAAATGTTTAATTTTTACAAATAATATTGTACTAAAATGCATAAACATGAGGCTGTCGGGGGACGGATACTCGAGCAATACCAAATTTACTGCAGAAATTACTTTTCACTCAAAATTGAATTAGCTAAAATGCTTAATCGGAATGAGTTCTTTGGTTCTCTGCATTGGTTCTTAATACCTTCTATTCACGGAAATGTTTGGACTAGCTTGAATTGCCGATTTGGCATCGCCTTATTGCTCGAGTAAAGGATGAAACACCTTCGTATTTATTTCTTAATTATTGTTCATTAAACGGGAGTTGGTTTGTTCCCCCTTGAAAAGTCAACTAATTTCTGATCAATGGCAATGATTACTTGCATTTAATTTTAATTACTTGCTTTTAATTTATTCCTTTTGCAATTGAAATTTTGTTATTCACGATTTAATTCAAGTCCCCGTTAAACATTTTCAACAATTTACATTTAAGTTACTTCAAAACATCTTTCGAAGTAGAACCTACTAAATATAGATTCACTCTTTTCAGATAATTCTACTATAATTAATCTTAGGAGATAATATAATCAATATTATTTAATAAATAAATTATTATTAACTTACTTAGCAGCAATTGCGCAAGTAGTAGTATAACTCGATTTCGCACTAAGGTGAACTTAAGATCATACACATATATATATATATATATATATAATGTTGTATGATGTATATATATATATATATAATATGTGTGTGCACATTACAGCATGTGTAATTTTATACTTCAAAAAAAGAAGCTGAGGTCTATGTTTTAAAATATCAGAACAAGCACTTTTCCTTCTGTTTCTACCATGTTCTGTTATTTAAACAGTGAAGTAGAAATTAATTTTATTACCTGGTTTTTTTCAAATCCTTCAAAGGAAAGATTTCACATATTTATAATATAACAAAAATACATTACCTCAAATATAAAATGGCAAAATTCTTTAAATTTATACAGGATGAGTATCTGTTGTTTAGCTTAGCTAAAATTTCATATTTTAAAGTGCACAATCACCAGAGAATGATACATCAATGTAGATATACATAAAAGAAAAATCAGCTTCTTAAAGCATATAAACAATTTAAAAAATTTAATCTACCAATAATAGTAGTTTTTGAAAAAAATTAATATTCAGAGAAAGAGGTCAAAAGCATAATATGATAGATATGCAGTATACTCAAAATATACCTTGAGTAGTTTATGAGTAAAACTGATTTGTATAAAACTCTATCATGATGATCACTAAGGCAGTGGCACTAAGCCATTTGAAAGTGGATCACTAAGCACTAAGGTAATTCATGATGGCAGTGAACAGTTATTCACTATTCACAGTAAAAGATCTCAAACCTGCTTTTTCCAGCTTTTCTGTATTATATGCTTGCAGTAGTCTGAATAAATCATCGATCTCCCATGCACATGGTCAATGATTTTTGCTACAGGTGTTGTTGCCTCTCAATAAGAAAGCTGAACAAGAAAAATTCACTGGTTTCTCAGCATAAACCATCAAACATCCAGTATTGTAGAACAAGCTTGACAGCTTTGTTTTATTCCCAGCAAAAAGATTTTTTCAGTTATGCACAAAGTTTGCTCAGGATCACCTATTCATTTATTTAGATGGTGGATAAAATGCACAGAATATATCTCTCTCATAAAACTGTTCCATTAAAAAGCTGTATTTTTGTAACAGCTGAGTTGCTTCTCTCACCAATGTCAGTTCCTCTGGCTTTTACTTCACTTGCAACTTTTCATGCTGTACTTCGAAAGTTTTATTTAATGGAAATTTTCACATGTTCGAATCTGATATAAAATGCATCTTCCTTAAAAGAAAGATATAGGTATACTTCTCGAAAAATCAATTTTTTATTATTAAAAAAATTACATGTTAATAGTAGAATAAATACAGCCCCTCCTGTGATGACAGAATTAAAAGTGATGACGAATTGCTAACATTTATATGAAAAAAAAAAAAAAAGAAAATACAATTGTATGTAATTTATATGCTCTTCCCATCAGTAAACTATAAATGAATGTGGTTTAGACTGCCAGCCATTTGAAGGTGGTTTGCATTGCTAATTTATGCATAATACTGGTGCCGATTAAAAAAACAAGGCCATAATAATCAGAAAGTCACCAATTTTATTTCACATTCCAAAAAATCTGGCAAGCCTTCTCCAACATAAAAATTCTTTTAAGTTACTTTATAAGAAAGAAATTCACATTTTAATTAGTTGTCATATCGAAACAGAATAATAAGGTTAAAATTGTTTTTAAAAAAATTAAATCTGATGGCTTTCAGATTTTACATTACGCCCAAAGGAGCTTCTTTTTTTAACGTTTTTGTGTGTTACCTTTATTTATTTAAATCATGTTCTTCGCACCTAAACCATAAAATTCAATTCAACAGCAATATCGCAAAATAATTTTAACATAAGCATATCTTTAGAATTTCCGATAACCAGTCTCGTGCACTGGAGATAACATTCCCCCCCGTTCAGTGTTGCCATTGCTTGCTTTGAAATCATCAAGTTTGTTAATCAAAAATTCATTAAAGTGTTACAAAATATGAAATCGATAATAAAAAAAAATTTTAATTCCAAATGCCCATATTCAGGTCTAAACATACATTATTCAAAATTTGATGGCTCTAGGTACCACTGTTTTATCACAATGCGAGAAACGTATCTCACATATATGCAGATTCTTCATTATTTTATTTCTTTAAACATAACACAGGACTCTAATATTTGGTGGCAACAATTTGAAAAGTGAACTGACATTTTATAATGAAACAACACAAAATGCCAAAACGAAATTAATAACCCTTCTGGACTAAAAATACATCTGTGTAGCCTAGAGAGTCCTGAAACTTAAATTTCTTTTCCCTAAACTTCATTTACTAACATTCCTCTCAGAATGTTAGAAAATGAAATATGTGATAGGTTGAGAGGTTCATTTACTAACATTTTGAGAAGAATCAGAAGGTTCAGAGTTCAAATCCCAGTATTGAAACTTCATGTTTCTTCTTTTCCGCTTTAAAAAGCCTAATGACTCTACAAAGTTTGCCCAATTTCTAAACACAGTTAAGTGACTTTAGATCAGGGATGCCAACCTGTGGCACGGGTGCCACAGCATGGCTCGGCAAGTCATTGAAGTTTTAACAGTGACATGTGAAGACTTACTGAATTAAAAGATTTGAAAAAATAATATCATCCATATTAACTCTTGATAGATACACACATAACTATATTCTCTGCAATACATTAATTGCTACCCAACTGAAATCCAAATTGAAATTATTGACCTACAGGAGCCTAGTGCATTGAAAAAGCAAATGTAAGGAACTTATCTCAACTGCAAGTGATCCTAATTATATTGAATTTGGGGAATTTGTACCAAAAAGCAATTTTCCAAATTTACACATTTTGGCTATCAGGTATTGTAGTTTTGAATCAACATTTGTTTGTGAACAAATGTTTTCTATTATGAGCATAATAAAATCAAAATATTATTCAAGATTTACTTATATGTACCTAAAACACCAAATTTTGTTCGCATCTTCAAGAACTAATACTAATATAGATAACCTGGTTAACTGTTAAATAGTTATTTAGAATTAATAGTTTCAAATTATTCATTTTTATTTTATACATAGCCTATATGACTAAACCTTTAAAAAGATTTATGAAC